TCCACCTGCCCCTTAATTGACGTTAGCACACGTAAAGGGCTGAAAAGTTGTAACTAATATTTAAGCACAACTTAAGGTGTGCTAACCTATGTACTAAGCACCAATGCTTAGTGCTAATGGCATGAGCTTAGGCACTAATGCGTGCACACCTCCATACTTAGCACTAAAATGCGTGAACTTACACCAATCCTTGTTAATGACTTGCTCATTAACCTCTTAAGCATGATTATCCCTTAATTAATCCTCATTAATGTTAATTAATCTTAATTAACACTAAGCTAATCATGATTATCTTAAGCTAATCTCGATTAATTAGCTTAAACACGATTAAGTTAATTAAGCACGGCTAATGACCATTACTTAACTAATGATGTACGGTGTACCAATGTGAACGCGTCACAGTATAGATATACCGAACTTGACATGAGGAACTTTAACTGGATTAACTATCGGAATATTATTTCGAACATGATCCTGACATTCGAAAGTTAATTCGAATATTCTTGACTTGGACGATTAATCCAAATAACAATATTTCGAATAATTCGTCAACTTAGCTTATTAATTCCAAACTCATTTAATAATTAAATGAATCGGAATTAAAATCTGAAAACTTATTCGATTATCCAACCGAATAACCTATCGACTAATAGTCGAACTTAGGATTTAACTGACTGAATCACTGGATCTTGAACATGAACATGATTATTTATTAACAAAGGCTAGTTTAACATGACAGCTAGTATTTTCCTTTATTAATAAAACTCGGGGTGTTACAATCCACCCTCCTTAAAATATTTCCGTCCTCGGAAATACTAAACTGAAATGTACAAGCTTAATATAAAGCTTATACTTATTGCTGACATGACTTGAGAATTCAGTATTGAATACTGAACATTAGACTTGATCTTGACTGAGAAATCATCAATTCACAGTTAAGTGAGTTGATGATTTAACACGGACTGAAACGAAACACTTTTCTGAAACAAAGTGTTCAGTGAATAAATATAATTCTGAAACGTACTGATCTTCATCTCCTGGCTGACTACGGGTCTTTGATTTGAATGTTGATTGTGGTACTCTCCGTCATAGGTACCCCTGGAAAATTTCAGAGATGCGTATATGTACAAATGAGGGTAACTAGCAATCGTGGCAACTACCTTTCGTAATTGTCTACTCGACACGCGGCACATCATTCGCGGCACATCGTAATGCGGTATACCTGCTCCTCATCAAGCGAGTGCGGCACACCTGCATACAGCACCTGGCGAAAATTGCACCTGCGACGTCGATGTAGTCTGTATGGCTAATCATATCTGTCTCTTGGCTAATGATCCTCAATGTACTAAAGTGCTAACTCTCTGTAATTTCCCAGTGTACTGTGACTCAACATGGTATGGCATCCTGCTCTTCTGGCGTCATGCATACTTGAATGGAAAGCTTGGTTGTCACCATGGCATGATCTGCTGCTGTTGATTGGTCTTCTTCGCCGTGTCGAAAATCGACATGTTGTACCTGCAACTATTTACTTTCCCTGAGGTCATACTTAACCTCAAGAAAGGTTTATCATAAACTGATTCTTCCTACGAATTCTCAAATCATCTGTATTTGAGAATCGTGGCTCTGAACATACTGAAAATGACTGATAAGTCTTGTCTTATTAGACAGACCATCTTCGATCTTGACATGACTGACCTGAATATTCTCATGACTATATAACCATGACTGAACTCTTACATGACTGAATCATTCTTACCTTGAATGCTGAAACTATCCCAAGATAATAACATAATCATCTCGGAATTTGGAACATGACGTTTACTGACTTACTTAACTCGATAAGGTATGACTTCAAGTTTCCAGGTAATTCTGGACTAATAGTCTGTATCTCAGACCGCCACATTTTACCCGGCTGAACAACTATTATACGTCGACCTTACATCATGAACACAAACTGTAAATCGTGAATCTGAACTCTGTACTATATAGGGCTGCTCCAGTATCAACTGGTCCCGCAAGTACAAAGTAATTAGCTGATCTTAAACTTTGGCAATGAACTTTCAGAGTATCTGACTGGTAAGATACCTGACTTAGCTGACTCTAAAGGTTGTTACTTCTAGAACTGTACTGCTCCGGTTCCAGCTTCAAGCCTCCATGGTATACCCGGCTTAGTGGCTCTTATTTCAAGCCTCCATGGCAACCCGGACTTTTGGCTCTTATACACTGAAAAACCGTTACTTGATAAAACTTGAAAATTTAACAACCTTTAATATGAAAACTTATTGCCCTGAACTTGCTTTACTGACTTGACTTAGGAAAATTGAACTTATTCCCAGTCTAACTCAAGGAATTCCTTCCTTTGAATATGCCAACTAATTGGTAAAACAGACAATTTTCAATAGAAAAATGTCTGAGGAACATGATTGCTAAGATTTGTATAACATAATAATTTACAAATCACTGAATGAGACATTAACTTAATCTGAATAAATCTAGAATGGAATCTAGGGTTCTCAATCCTAGCCTCTTTCTAGAGTTCTGAAATCGTACTTAAATCCCCTCACTGATGACTTTATTGAAGCTGATCAATAAGGGACACAGATCTCTTGATGAGTAGCTAATCATGACTGGGGAATACTGATATAAAATTCCGAGTATACTGGCTACTGGTCATGAACATGATTCGAGCATCTTAACTATGTCATAACTGAGGAATTTCTGAGCATAGAAATAGTAAATTGTTTATAATTTAAAACTTAATCAGCACTTACCTGGTAGTCGGCGAGGGGTGAGTATGACATATTCGGGTTTTCTGAAAACTTTTTGACTCATAAAAATTTTCAGAGACGCAAAAACGTTGCTCTGATACCAACTGTAACACCCCGCTTTTCCATAAATATCAGAGTGCGCTGGAACACCCCGCCTTACTAGTAAATCAGAGTTGCGCATTTTAATCGCAAAGTCTGTGA